AGGACAGGGTTGAGGTTTTCTTCGTGGGGGGGGGGGTGTCTTTCAATGCATAGGGCTGAGTTTTTCCTCTTGGGGGGCTCTTGAGGTCCAGGGCTGAGTTTTTCCCTACCTCACGTTGCTTCTTGCTCAAAGTTATGATTTTTACACCCCCATTATAGGGGGAAAAACCCCTCCTGGTGGTTTTTTTTTTTTTTTCTCCAGAGGCTTTGTGTTTGTCGAGGGGAGACCTCCCTGGTCCCCCAGCCCAGACTCAGGGGGGTGGCAGCACCTTGCTCCACGGCTGCTGGAAGAAACAAGAGATGAATTCCTTACTTCTTCAGAATAAAAAGTGGGATTTAGGGCGGGGAGGTGACCCCCAGACAGGGGTTTTGGGGAGAGGAGAAGCCACCGAGCTCTGGGGCCTCTGTTTCAGGGGAGATGGAAGGACAAGTGGGAGGCTCCAAAACAGCTTCCATCGTGGCCGATGTGTCTGAGACCACCTTTGAGACCCTCTTCGGGGAGGAGAGGTGGGTCTGGCAGCACCCGTTGTCCCAATGGGAGGTGCTGGGGGGGTCCCTCTCGGCAGCAGCCCCCCCAGGTGCCCCATGGGCTGGATGGGGGGCGATTTCACTGGTGTTGGTTTCAGGATTGGGGGTGAAGTCCATTCCATGGTGTGGGACCCCACTGGGGAGAGACTCGCCGTGATCCTCAGAGGTGGGTGCTTTGCTTGAACCCCCCCATCCTTTCCAGCAGGTGAAACCCCCACCGGGGTGAGGAATGGGGTCGGGAAATCATGGAATGAGTCAGGAAATGGTGGAATCCCAGGTGGGAAGGGACCTGGAGGATGCGCTGGTCCAACCTCTCTTGGCAAAAGCCACGCTCCAGAGGAGCCGGCCCGGCTTAACCTTAAAAATGGGAATAATCAACCTTAAAAATTGAGGAATTCCCCATTTTCCCAGGGAGATTATTCCAGTGACTGATTGTTCTCAGCATGAAAACCTTTCCTCTTGTGTCCGGGAGTAACTCATACCCATCACCCCTCATCTTTGCCCTGTGGCCCTTGGAAAAGCTGGGGGAGGGGGGTCTCCATCATCTTTGTGACCACCCTTTAAAGAAGGGAACGTGGAGAAAAGGTCTCCCCAAGAGCTGTATTTTCTCTGGGTGGAACAAACCCAGTTCCCATGGGCTTCCCAGTCCTGGGATCATTTTGGTGGCCCTTCCCTGGCCCCTCTCCAGCCTGGCCATGGCTTCTTTTTTTGTACAGTGAGGACCAAAATGGAACATGTTATTCCAGGTGGGGTCTGACCAGCACCACGTAGGTTCTTTTTCTCCTCGGTGATGCAGCCCAGTGTCCTACTGGGGTTTTTTTCACCACAGGGCTCAGCCACATCGAGCTCATTGTCACCAGGACCCCTAAATCCCTTTCCATGGAGCAGATCCCAGCCTCTTCTGAGCTCCAGGATTTGCTTTTCCAAGATGCAAGACCTTGCTTTTGTCCTTGTTGAACCTCACAAGGTTCTTGTTACCCAACTCTTCCAGCCCCATCCAGGGTGGTCGCCCTCCCCCAAGGGCCCACTCCCCCAGTAAGGTTTGGTGCCACCAGCAAATGTCACCAGGACAAACTGGATCCCACCACCCAGATCGTTTATAAGGATATTAAACACAAATTCAATCCCTGGGGGACCCAACTTGGGACAGGGAAGGCAGCACCCACCTTCCATCCTTCCTCACCAGGACTCCACTCCCCTGTACTGGGATGTGTCCCAGTTCCCTCCCCATTCCCAGTGGGATGAATCGCCTTTCCCACCCCACATTGTGCCTGGAAGCCCAACTGGGCCTCTTGGCTCCGTGTTTTTTAGGAGCAACTCCCGGGATAATGGAGCCATTCGGGCTCTCCCGGACAAAGCAGACCTTGGAGGGAGCAGCAAAATACAGTGCTGGGGGTGCTGCTGCCTTGGTGTCCCCCGGCCTTATCACCAGTGGGGACAGAGCTGAAGCCACTGGGCCAAAGCTAGGGTTTTTTTGCTATGCTTAAAGTTGGGTGGGGAAGAAACTGGATGGGGGGAGAGCCTGGGGGTACCAGGACTCCCGTAGCTGCCCCCCCTGGCCCCATCCTCTGCGCCTCCAGGGAGGTCCTGTGAGGATTTTGGTGCAGAAATTGGGATGGGATGGAAAAAAACCCCCACCAACCTTCACTTCAGAGCGTGGGACCCCCACGTCATGTCTTATAGGCTGGGGGGGTTCCAAAGGACCCCCCATGTCACACTGCGGGGGGGTTCCAAAGGAGATGCCTCATCTCTTCTACAAACCCTTCTTGGCCAAAACCCCCAAGAGCTTGGAGCCGGCTTTAAAATCACTGAAGGGTCTTTGAAAGCCCCATCTTGAGGGGAGGAAAACGCCATCCGCAGCCAGCTTTGCCCCCTCCACCCCCCCGTCCGGTGTTGGGGGACCCACCTGTGTCCCGGTGCGGTCCCTCGGACCAGGGGAATCCTCACTGCTCCTTCCCTTTCCCTCCTCCAGGACATCCCGATGATCCCGGGAGCCAGGCCATCGTCGCCGTCTTCCGCACCCGCAACAGCCCTGTCTTTGAGCTCCTGCCCTGGTGTGTAACCGGGGTTTTTTGGGTCAGTTTTGGGTCGGTTCGGGGTTGGTCGAACACCAGGAATCCCCTTGAGGAAGGGTGGGGAAGAGCAGACCCACCTTGGAGTGAAGAGATGCTGCCGCCCCGTGCTCTTGTCACCATTTTCCCTCAGAATCTGTTGAGTTTTGGCCAAATTATCCATTATCCACCTCCAAAATGCTTTGTTTTGGGTTCTTCTTACCCGGTACCTCCCAGCCAGGGTCAAAAATATCACCGTTTAACCGTGGACTACCCTGAAAACGCCATGTTTTGTCGAGTGGGTTTTAACCCTATTTTTCCCTTTTTCCCTGCAGCGGTTTCCTGCGAGGGGAAGGGGGGGCACAGCCCCAGCTCATCGCCTTCCACCCCTGCTTCAAGAAGGGCGCCCTCCTGACCGTGGTGAGTGGGGGTCCTGCTTTCGGTGGGTTTGGGGACCCCCCGTCATTGTCCCTCGAGGGAGATACTGAGCAGAGAGGGGTGAAAAAATGTCCCCATGGTGTCACAGGTCCCCATCACTGTCCCCAAGGGAGATCAGTTGGGAGGGTGGAAAGATGTCCCCAGGGTGTCAACAGTTCTTGGGGGTCCCCATCGCTGTCTCTGAGGGACATCAATCCAGTGGCTGAGCAGGGAGGGGTGAAAAGATGTCCCCTCGGTGTCACGGTTCTTGGGGGTCCCCACAGGACGTCAATCCGGTGGCTGAGCAGGGAGGGTGGAAAAACATCCTCAGGGTGTCACAGTTCTCGGGGGTCCACATCTCTGTCCCCTGAGGGACATCCATCCAGTGGCTGAGCCAGGAGGGTGGAAAAACATCCCCAGGGTGTCACAGTTCTTGGGAGTCTCCATCGCTGTCCCCAGGTCCTATGGCTGAGCCAGGAGGGGTGGAAGAACATCCCCAGGGTGTCACAGCTCCCCATCGCTGTCCCCGATGGAGATCCATTGGTTGGGTGGAAGAAACGTCCCCAGGGTGTCCCTGCAGAGGGGAGAGGGTGGGGAAGGACCGGGAGGGCAGGGTGACGCTTGGATTGTCACCTCCCTGCCGTCTCCTGTACTCATCTGCCTCCTCTTCCTCCTCCAGTGCTGGTCCACGGGGAAGATCAGCCACGTCCCCTTCTTCTTCGTCAGCGCCCACATCCCCTGCGCCAGCCCCGGCCCCGTCACAGCCAGTGCTGGGGGGTGGGAGCAGCCCCTCTTCTCCGAGCGGTGACAACACCCCTGTCCTCAGTGTCCCTGTCACCCCAGAGCCAGCGTCGGGACGGTCCCTCCGTCCTCATCCTCCTGGGACACACGGCAGGGCCGTGGGTGCCTTCGGTCCCTCCTGGGGGGTCTTGTGGGGCCAGAGGGATTAAATCTGGCTCTTTTCCCCCCCTCTCACTGCTGCCCTTCTCCCTGCCCCACTCTTTCCTTGCCCTGGGGGGGCTGCAAATTTTTTTTTTTTT